ATTGTCTCAGAAATTATTGTAATAAACAATAATATTGTTTGAAATTTGACAATAATTAGTAATTATTGTCAAATTTAAGAAAAAAATGTTGGTAAATTTTTGCGTGTGGTACCTTTTTGACTGCTGGATGGCAGCACAAGACAGTTTGAACCAAAGGATGGATAGTGAGGGAGCGAGCAGCGTGTCTCTTTAAGTAAAATGGGAGTGAGGCCTCTTGACGTGACATGGGCTGTCGCTCTTCAGTTTTCAAAATGGCAGACGCCCGGTGTGGTTTGAGCTTTTTAGCGTAGCATTTTTCACACGAAGCTTTTAATAAAACGTCAGTAAACAAGTTCTCAGCTTCTTTTTGCAGAGAAAAACAACTTTTTACACAAAGGCACGGGTTTCAACCGTGAATTTTGGAGCTTCGACAAGACGGAGGTTTTTTCCCCGAGGTCGGCCTGTTAGCTTAGCTCATAGCTTAGCTCGTAGCTTGGCTGCTTTTAACGATACAACACGATTTTAGACGGTTCAAACAGATTTTAAAGAGAAAGGGAGTGAAGAACCGGAGTTGAGCTTTTTGTCATCCAGTGTCTTCAGTAGAAAGAGAGACACAAAGAAACAATAAATTTAAATGAGGTTGATAATTTTCATTCATCATGTGATTAATTGATTTATTGTTTATCGCCACAGACCTCTGAGCTCAAACAAGAACTTTGTTCAAAACTGGTATTTGAGGCAGAGGGTGATGTGCGTTCTTAACTTTAATGGACATTTTTATGTTTGTTATAAAACATAACCCTTTTTTTTTTAAATTTTAGATCTCCATCCGTTGAAATCTTAAAAATCTTCAAATAAAATTCACCTGGCGGGGACGTCTTTAGATTTTAGTAAAAGGCAGCTCGAACTCAAACACGTTCACTTAAAGGAAAATTAGCAGCTCAGACAGGTGGAGGTGGTGTGTCCCTGAGGTGGAGGTGGTGTGTCCCTGAGGTGGAGGTGGTGTGTTCCTGAGGTGGAGGTGGTGGTGTGTCCCTGAGGTGGAGGTGGTGGTGTGTTCCTGAGGTGGAGGTGGTGGTGTGTCCCTGAGGTGGAGGTGGTGTGTCCCTGAGGCGTTTCGCCCCAAAGGTTTTGAAGCTGAGCAATAAATAATCACAATTATCTGCTGGACTGAACGTTGGAGCAGAACAGTGGAAATTTCCGTACTTGAACCCGGAGATGGAGCCGAGGCAGCCGTTCAGACAGGTCACGTGTGTGTGTGTGTGTGTGCGTGTGTGTGTGTGTGCGTGTGTGTGTGTGCGTGTGTGTGCGTGTGTGTGTGTGTGCGTGTGTGTGTGCGTGCCCGCCTCATTGCCAGTCTCAGACCCATAAAGACGGCCATTGAGAGAGGTCACATGATGAGATCATGAGCAGAGGAGGGGGATGGCATGAGAAGAAAATGTTGTTTTGGTCAAATGAGCGTCGACACGGAGCTTGGGTAAAAGAAGTGAAGGAGGTGAAGGAGGACGTTGGATCAGTTGGAGCGTGGCTCACGTGTCAGAACAGAAACGTGCACAACTCTTCACTGAGATGAGAATCAAACGGAAACACCAACAAGTGTTGGCTTTAATCTTTTAAACTGTTTCAGCAAACGTTCCCGCTCTTCCTTTTTAGTTTTATTGAGAAAAAGATCCGCGCCTCCTCGGATTCCTTCTGTCTTGAACCGGGTTACGAGGAAGTTCAGTCCAGCTGCCGTACGGAAATGTGGAGCAGAAATCCGTTTGCTCGCCTTTGCATAGGGCCTGAAAACAAGAGGAAACGCCCGACTCCGTCCAAAGATAACAGGAGGAGCGTCTAACGGAGGAAAGAAGAAAATGAACAACAGATGTTGTGTAAAATCCACCAGCAGAGAGAACTGTCCGTGCACAGCTGGAGGACTTTCTGCTAATTTGTATGATGGTGATAAAGGGCGGCACGGTGGCTCAGTTGATGGAGCTGTTGCTTCTCAACAAGAAGGTCGCCGGTTCAAATCTCAGCCCTTTTCCGGGTGGAGTTTGCATGTTCTCTCCGTGCATGCGTGGGCTTTCTCCAGTTTCCTCCCACAGACCAAAAACATGCATGTGAGGCTGATTGGTGACTCTAAACTGTTCCTATGTGAGAGAGAAAGAATAATAAATATATAAAAATATATATAATACTTGCTGAGATGGGTAGGGCAGCCGACTTGGGACCAGAAAGTTGGGGTTCAACTCCCGGCCGTGCTACATAGCTGCCCCCTGCTCCCCCGGAGCGACTCCCAGGTGTGAAGGGTTAAATGCAGAGAACTCATCTCATCATCGTGTGGGAACACACAGCTGTGCAGTGGAACCGATAACGATGAAAGATTAGCATTTTTCACATCGTGTCGTCAACGCACAGATAAACTGTGACTCAGCTTCTGTCCTGCAACTGTTTTACTGCCGTTAATCCATTTAGCAAACGTCTCGTAAAAATAAAATGTAATTCAGTTTCTTTCTGTGGCACCACGTCACAACAGAAGTCGTCTCAGGGCTCTGACCAGAAACATTGAAATATTGAAAAAGTTCACCGGCCACTGGTTTGATAGAGAGAACTTTTCTTTTTAAATCTGTCACTCTTTTGTTTTGCAGAGCATCTATTTGATTATAAATGTGATTTTTAACCTTCGGCTGAGTTGGAGCGCCTTCACGAGAGTTTAGTCCACGTTCCTGGCCCACATGGCTTAAACGTTTCCTCCCTGTCTGGTTCGTGTGTCAGATCCAGTCGGCAGTAAATCCAGAGATTTTGATCTTAGTTGATAGTCAAAGTGTTCTTAGTGTTATTTCTGGTTAAGCATTCAAATTACTGTCTTACTGTTTAGAGTTTTGGACTTCTGCATGGTGCTATTTTAGCTGTTCCAGCTTCAAAACGTTCAGCTGCTTCAGGAGATAGATGCCACGTCTTTTGGTTTTTATCATTTCTATACTTTTCAAATTATTTAAATTATATCCCCATAAAAAATAGGTAGAGATCTCATCAGTTCCTTCAAAAACAATTTTCTTTTAAATCTGCTTCAACTATTTTTAGCTTTTACCCACCGTTCTGCTACTTTTAGCATTTAGCTACTGCTTGGCTACTTTTGGCTTCTACATAGAATTTTTTTTATTTTTAGCTTTTAGCAGGCCTTTAGCTACTTTTAGCTTTCAGTTAGTGTTTTACCACTTTTAACTAACGGTCTGCTTCTTTTAGCTTAAATAAATTAGTTTCTTCAGCAAAGTCTTTCAGCACTTTGTGTCTGTTTAAAACAAGATCTTTAACTGTCTTGGACTTCCTCTTTGCGACATCAGATGTTCTTTACACACAGATTTATCTGTGAACAGCAGAACCACGTGTTGCATGTTTAAATAAAAACTTACCCGAAACCTCAACGTCATCTCTGATTTGTCTAATCAAACTCAGACTCTCAGGGGTTTTAGAGCTAAAACTGTTAAAACGAGCCGTTTGTCTGTGAGCTGCTGTGAAGGATTTACACCAGTGGATGTGTGAAAGGTTTTTATAGTGTGTGTGTGTGCGCGTGTGCGTGCATGTGGCCTCATTTCCATCCAGCGCAGCGTGGAACAGCCACCCTTTGGCTCGTCCTCTCAGGCTGTGAGGCGCCTCAAAGCTCGCTTTGTCACAGTTAGCGGGCCTGGTTCTGCAGCTGGGGTGCCGTCAGCAGCCGGACCCTCAGTGGTGGAGGGGACCCCCACGAGGAGGGAGCTGTAACGGCAGCAAAGACCAGAAGAAACATTTATCCTCATGTTTAAAAAGTGCTTCTCAGGGGAGTTTTGGTTGGATCAGTTTATTTAATCTGATCATTTAATTAATTTATTTTTATTTAAGCTTTATTTTACAAAGAAGGAATCCAACGAGATTGTTAATCTGTCTCGTCCTGGGCGAAATGCAAATACAGCAACGATAATGTGACGTCAGCAGTTCGGTTGATCAGTCCGTTTTATGACAGCTACGTTTGTAATAAAGATTAAGAGAGTTCTGTCACTTCTGATGATTTGAATTCAAGACGTTTTTTATTTCAAACATCAGACTTTTAGGCAAAATCTCGATCAACAAGGTGCACGTGTACATCGTCTATCATTATTTAACGTGGCACATTTTGGATATTTTTTACCATCTTGGTTTTATTTGTCTGAACTTTTGCCAAGTCCGACTGTTTCTGTAACGTCTGAAACTGTAAAACTTTCTGGTCCGAGTGAAAATACTGATTGTTTTAAACAAAAGTCCAGTTATCTATAAATGTATAAACATTTATAATGTTATATATGTGTTATCACAACTATCTGCTGGAGGTTGCTCTACTATCATAAAGCTTTGCTTTCAATAAAAAAAAATCACTGCCTTCCTTTCCCTTTTAGCTACTATTCTGCCCCCTTTAGTTAGCATTTTGCTGCTTTTAGCTTCTAACGAGTATCTTGAACCGTTGACTAGCGTTCTGCTTCCTTCAGTTTTCAGCTGACCTTTTGATACTTCAGCTGGTGTTCTGTGTATTTAACGTTTAGCTATTGTTCTGCTGTTTCAGCTCAAGTTTCAGCTTCTTTAGTAAAATTTTAGCTGCAGGAAGGAGATACTTTTTAAAACCTGACTCTTAAATTAGTTCTCTTCTTCTCAAGTCACCACGGCTCTTTGAGGGAACCATCTTGGGGTTTTTATTTTTATTTTTTGGCCTTAAAATGAGACATTTTCCTGCAGCTGCAACAAAGATTTGGAAACAAAAACTGTACGTAACTTTTAAGAGCAGCTAGCGTAAATCAACTCAGTTTAATATTGTATTTACAACCGTGCTAATTGTTGCAAATGTTCTTTCTAGCTAAGTTCTTTTAACAAATGGTTTGTCTCGCTCGTCTTGAACGGTTTCGTAAACCGTCTGCAGACTGAACGACTCGCTCACATCACATGTAAACCTGAGGAGGAGTGTTTGAACACACATGAAGTCTGTGCCTGGACGAAGGACGTCAGAGCTAACCCCGTTTGTCTCTGCTGTCCCGCAGTGTTTCCAGTGTGGCGGGGGATCGGGACCAATAACGGCGCCGGGTGGTCCCAGGGCTGGGGGCGCTGCTTGAGATGGGACCCAGATAGTCCAAACCAAGGGACCAGATTCCTGATGTTCAACTACCCCGTCTGGTTGGTGCTGTGTCGCCGCGGGCGCGCCAGGCTCAGGGAGGTGTGTCAGAGAGGGAGGGGCGCCATCGGACTGCCCACAGACCTGCTCAGCATCAGACTGTCCCAGGTCTTCGAAATCCATCAGATTCCCAAGGTAAGACGGGGCAGGAACCCCCACTTGCAGCTTGACAGAACGGCAACAAAACGCACGTATGTAACGTGTTTTTACCACGCTCGCGCTCCAAAAGGCTCAAATGCAGCCTCTCTGTGGACGTACCGACCGCGCTAAAACAACGTTTAGTTACTTTTGTTGATTACAAACCTTTTTACGACGTTGACAACAGAAAACAACAATTTGAATAGCTGCGTCAAACCTGCCCGAATGTAACAAGACAGATTAAAAACAAATAAAAATAGACGACACAATAACAGGAAAAAGCTGCCTTTAATTAAAAATAAAGAATACTCATTAGGTGAAGAAAGTCTTTAGGCCCCACGCACATTTACTCACAGCAGCATGTGTTTTTGCAGCCACACTCCGTCCAGTGGTGAGTGCTTTGCTAACACGCGTCAACTCCAACAGTTAATGCAGTTGATGCCAAAGTTTTAAAGAAAGATTTCACGCGATATGCATTCTTTCATTTAGTGGAATACCCTAGAATTGCGTTCTAGAATTGCGCCGCTCCAGGTGGCTGCATGTTGGAGCAGCTCTGTTACTTTCTAAGATTTTGCTTTTGGAAACTTTAATTCCTCTTTTTCTGGATGTAAGTCACATTTTTTTGGATGATTGTTTCCTCTGGTATCAGATGCTGTGCAGCTGGAAGGATTTTTACTGAAACTTTTTTTTGTTTTGGACATTTGTTATGATGCGTAACCATGGCAACAAGGCAGTTTTCTACAACCAACAGCAGCTGATTAACATCTCAAAAGCTCAAATAATATCTCAACTACAGCCCCAAATCTCGTGAGTTGAAAAGGATGTTCTGTGGACGCATTCTCATCTACCTGCCAGCTGTGCCCGAGTGCCTGACCACTGAGGTCCTGGAACTAGCAGGAAACACGGCTCATGACAGCAGAAGGACAGGGTCGTCCCTCGGCACCTACAGTTGGCTGTCCACAGTGACGAGGAGCTCGGCAGACTGCTGGGAGGAGTGGCCATCGCTCTGGGAGGAGTTCTGCCCGGCATTCGGGCGGTCCTACAGCCCGGGGGAACCGAGAGGCCAGCCGAGTCTGGGTGGACGGATCGGACGGCATCTGCAGCCAGTTTCTTAGGATCCACTGTGGGATGGACCTTTACAAGAGATCCTTCCTGCCTACAGCATCAGTATCTATAACATCTCTTAATGAAATGAGGATAACGAGTTACAACAACAAATAATTTCCCTTTGGGATTAATAAAGTATTTTTGAATTTGAATTTGAATAAAATGAGGAAACTTTATGAATTATAAAAGTTCTCTCTTCCTGCAGCGTTTGTTCCAGAACCCTCACAAAGTTCTCTGGAGCGTTTGGTGCAAAGGGAACCTGTGTTAGACCTCCTCCCGCTCCTTGCAGCCAATCGCACACGCTCGGTTTGCAAACGGTGGAGGAATGCGGTCGCAGTCTGAGGCCGTCGACGGGAGCCAGAGCCCGGCAGTCCAAGCGTCTGTGCTGGCCGGCATCCACGCTGCAGCTTCATCTCCTAAACCTAAATCCTGTTTGGAGCAGTTTTACATCCGAGTCGTGGCGTTAGTGCTGAAAGTCTTAGGTCAGTTAACCAGACGCGTTCCGATGTTCTGAGATGATCACATCTCTGCAGCTGCTGCTTCAAATAGTGGAATCGTTTACCAATAAATAAATAAAATAATAATAATAATGTGCACGTATTTTCATCATTGCATGTTATATAACCGTTAGGCCCCATTAAACGCCTACTCTTACAAAGCTAGTAGAGCTGGACGGCTTGATTTTATCGTGTTTATTTTTTTATTGATGATTTCATTCCGGTCTTATTGAACTCTTCGTGCTGGTTTTGTTAATGTTCTTCGTTACTTCGGTGCAACGCTCCTTTCTAAAGTGATTCATAGATTAAAAATGGCGTTGAGCCAAAATAGCAGTGGTTTTAATCTTGCAGAGATTAGCCGTTTTTATGTTTTTAATCTACACATTTGATCATGTTAATCTTTTTTTTTGTTGCTTTAAGGAAAACATTCTGATATTGTCTCTGAGGTTATATAAGTTTATTAGAAAAGGTTTTCAACATAAAGTATCAGCTGAACAAGTTTGACTTTAAGTATCTGATCAAAGCTGAAATTATTCTTGACAACACCCCCTCCTAATAACCATCGACCGTTTTGTGTTGATCTTCACTTATTCTTGTGAATAACATGAGACAGTTTAAACCAAAAGACGAGACGTCAGCCTTTTCTGTCGGTATCATTTAGTAAAGTTAGTTTTTATGCCCCGGCCCAAAAGAAATGACACCATCATCAGCAAATCGTTCGACTTTTTGTTCAGTTGGAAAGAGTTTATTCAGCGTTCAGTTGTGGAGCAAATTAGTCTTTAGACCTTTTATTTATTTCTACTCTGGCTTTGATTAGATTCATAAAATCTAATTTGTACCAAAGGTGTTGGTGCTTAGGGCTGCAAGAGTGGTCACAGTTCATGGTTTCTTTCAACAAATCATTTTTACTGACGGCAGCAACCTGTGGCAGCTCGGTGCAAAATAATGTTCTGATCCAACGTTTCCCTTCCCCCAAGTTGTTTGAAGTTTCAGGCTCGTCTTCCGAGGGGATAAGATAAGATTAGGCAAGCTGAGCACAAACACAACTTAAATGTTTCCACAGAGAATACGGCTTTTTTACTAAATTGTTCTTCAAAGTAAAAAACGTAGAATGAGATGACGTCAAAAATGACAATTAATTGAGTAAAGCTTAGTAAATTAAAGATGCTTAGACTCTGAGCGGCAGAGTTTGTTTGTTTGTTTGTTTGTGTTAAATGGACAGCCTGTTTGTCCCTTCTTGTCCCCAGGTGTTCAGGGAGGACAGCATCATCTCGGGGTACCGTCACCCCCGGAGCTCGGCGCTGGACTGCGTCCTCAGCAGCTTCCAGATGAACAACGAGACCATCAACATCTGGACGCACTTCCTGCCCACGTGGTGGGTTCAGATCATTTAACGGAGCTCCAGTTCCTTCGTTCCTTTTAGCTGCACTTTGGCGCACACGTTTCGTATTTAGAAGCTCGCCGATGAAGCGCTGATGGGTCGTGCTGTTCGCAGGTACTTCGTGTGGCGTTTCTGCGACCTCTGCTCCAAGATGAACTTCCTGAACGACAGCTACACCTGGCCCCTGCTGGTGTACATGCTGCTCGTCTGCGTTTACCCCTTCACCTCCAGCTGTGCACACACCTTCAGCACCATGTCCCCAGAGTCCCGCCACATCTGCTACTTCTTCGACTACGGAGCCCTCAGCCTCTACAGCCTGGGTAATGCACCTGACAAGTTCACTTGTTAGCATTTATTAGCAAAGGAACATTCATCCGTCCTGACGTGTCTAATGGAAATAAACTTTACTTACAGGAAACAAACTCTAGGTTCGGTTTTGGACAGGACAGTTCTGCCGTCGTGTTGCGTTTCACCATAAAAGATCAGAACATTTTTATCCTCTGACCTGAACATTTGAGCAAAATGAACACCAAGATGAAATAAGTTTGGAAAAATGTAATTAACTCTAATCGTACCGCAAACACAAAGTGATGAATTTGTACGTTTTAAATTTTTTAAAGGACCGTTCGTAAACGTTCTCTTGTCCCGCAAATAACTTCTGATCCACTCAAGATAATTTCATAAAACTTCTTACACGCATGCATCCTTAGATGGAGTGTCACATGAGGTTTTCATGAGCCCAGCTCTAAGGTGAAGATGAAGGTCAGAGGTTAAACGAGGTCTTTGCTTGTCCGGGCCGTTGCTACAGATCACTGTATGAAGTTTGTCGACGGGGGTGTAATGTGCCGTACGCAGTCTCTTCTGCAAATAAAGCTGCTCCTCACCCTGTACTGTATTTTCCGCCGTACAAGTCGCATCAGTCCAAATATGTCTAATAAAGTAGAGAAAATCCATAAATGCGTTGCTTCGCCGTATAAGTCGCATCCATGACGTGTCACCGCTGACAACCTGGAAATGTGGGCCGGTGTTGTGCCAAAAAAACAATGGGCTGCCAAATGGCGGCCGCAGGAGCGTGCACAGGAGGACTTTAACAAGAATTTAATAAGATTAACACTTAAAAACAATTATTTGTTTGCTCAAAATTATAGTAAAGGTGTGTCTCAGTCTAACTTTTCCTTAATAAATGCACTTTAATGGTCAAATCAGCTGCATTTCAAAAGCTGATTCGCTGAATTATGAGCGAGCAGAGGGACGACTCGCTGTGCATTTCTTCAAAATTTAACAAGATAAGCACCTAAAACAATTATTTATTTGCTTGACATTATAGTAAATGTGTGTCTTAGTTGAACTTTTACTAAATAAATGCACTTCAACGGTCAAATCAGCTTCATTTTGCCGGGGCGGTGCAGAGAAATGAAGATGATTTGACGGTTGCTCCAGGCGAGGGTAGCAATTACGGCAAGCCAATTGTGTCATTAATAACCACTTTTACCTATTACATAACACAACAGCATGCCATACTGTTTGAGTGCCATCTTTCGGCTGAAGTGTTCAATATTTTCAGTCAGAATGAATGACAATGCTCATATCAGCCAAAAATTGGTTTATAAATATGGGGAAACACATAAATTAGTCACTTGGGTGTATAAGTCACAGGGCATGTAAATTATGCAAAAAAACTGTGACTTATAGGCTGAAAAATACAGTAAATTATTGTTTTTACGTCATAACGGTTAAATTATTACAGATTTATGATTGAATGGATAATAAAAACCGTGAAATGCACCCGGTTCCCTTTGGTGGAAATCTTTCAGAGAAAACTTCAGCTTGGAAAAGTTTCTGCATCATATAAATGTGGAACAACGAGCCACCGGAACCTGTTGCGTTCTCTCATTTAACTACATTTGTGTACGTTTGGCTTTTTGTGGACACCTGACAGTTCCGGTAACTTCCTGTCAGTAAAACTCGAGGCTCGTTTGAGCTTCATGTTTCAGCTGCGCCTCCTGGATGTGTGCCGAAGCCTGATTTACATGTCAGTCCGTGTTTAATATTCTGCTTTTCTCAGGAGGAATGTTTGACGGTTTATGTCAAATCATATTTTCCAAAGTCTCGTCTGCCTTGGAGATGAAACCGAAACACCTGGCTTGTTGTCAGCTGTTGTCTCCTAGTCGCCGTCCAGTTGTTCAAACATCAGTCGGCCTCGTTCCGCCAAGTTACATGCACTGAATTCAACTCCGCTCTCACGCTTGCTCTTGTACTTATTGCACTTTTTATTTCAAAACACACCAGCCGCTTACCAAACATAGGCGGAGGATGTAGACATCAGTGAAGACGAGGAGGACGACACACCGAACGCAAAGTCATGAGACAGAGTCACATTCACTGTTAGCGTTATAACTGTTTCATATTTTAAAATTCAACATTTTATTTGAACAATCTTTTCACCTGCACCTTTACACGTGTAAACATCTGCATGTAATTATAAATGTTTTGAGCTTTGTCGCCCCCTGGTGGTTTTTTTACCAGAAATTACAGATGAGTGATTTGATGGTCTGGGCTCAGATTATATGACCCCCAATGTTGTCAGGTGCTAAAAATCTTAATCTGCTCTGTCATATATATGCAAATACACATTATAATATTTTATTAAACATAAATGTGTGTTGCAGCACTGTGCTTGCTGATTTCTTCTGTTTTGAATGTCACAGTTTTTAGGCTTGACTTTCCTCTTTTGGTCAGAACGTGAATATTTTTCATATAAAAGCTGAATGAAAACAGCCAGAAACGTAAAAATATTTTCATAAAGTGTGATAAAGTCCTGTTGGCAGCCGAGAAGTGACCTGGACCTGTTTTCGCCTGCAGGTTGTGCCGTCAGTTATGGGAGCTACGTGATGCCCGAGTGCTGGGTGAACAGTTGGCTCCATCAACACTTTGTTCTCATCGCCATCGGGAACACGCTGTTCTGTACCAGCATGTCCTGCTATTCCAGGTAAAAAAAATCTTTATTATTATTATTTCATATTGAAGTTTGAGTAAATGTTTGCTTTATATAATCTGGAAAAGCAACCTGATTACAGCTGGTTGGGTTTATGTAACTCTGATTCCCGATTACTTGGAAAAAAAAAAAAAAAACACCCTCACAATGTCTGATTGTTTGACTGAAGCTTGCATTCTGGCCGTAATTGGAAAGTGTCTGGAAAGCATAAAGGCCGTCATGTCTCGTGGGTCGTTTTGACCCAAGGGCAGCAGCAGGGTTAAATTCTCTGCTGAAGCTCAGACAAAGTAAATTCTTTTCATTTCAGCAGCTCTGGAAGTCGTGACGACCCACTCTAGCTCCACAGAGGACTTTAACTCGGTGTATAAAACACAAATATTTGATCTTTTAAAGCAGCTTTTTACTTTAGTCGTCTTGCAATGCAAAAGTTGCTGGTTCGATTCCACCAGCAGTCACATGCTGAAGTGTCCTGGTCATTGCCTCCGATGTGTGTCCCATCGGTGTATGAATGTGATCAAGCACTGATTAGTCTTTGTACAGATCTAGTAGAGTGTTGTATGAATGGGTAAATGAGGGCACAGCTTGTATAAAGTGCTTTGAGTAGGCCTGTCACGATAAACAATAAATCAATTAATTGCATGATAAATAAATATTATCAACCTTATTTTCATTTATCAGCTTTATCGTTTCTTTGTGTCTCTTTTTCTACTGAAGACACTGGATGACAAAAAGCTCAACTCCGGTGCTCTTCACTGGCCCCTCCCTTTCTCTTTTCTTTTTAAAATCTGTTTAAACCGTCCAAAATTGGATCATTAAAAGCGGCTAAGCTGAGAAGCTAAGCTACGAGCTAAGCTAACAGGCCGATCTCGGGGGAGAAAAAAACCTCCATCTTGTCGAAGCTCCAAAATGCACGGTTGAAACCCGTGCCTTTGTGTAAAAAGTTGTTTTTCTCTGCAAAAAGAAGCTGAGAACTTGTTTACTGATTTTTTTTAATTAAAACCTTTGTGTGAAAAATGCTATGCTAAAGAGCTCAAACCACACCGAGCGTCTGACATTTTGAGAAACGAAGAGAGACAGCCCATGTCACGTCAAGGGGCCTCCCTCCCATTTTTTCTTAAAGAGGCACACTGCTCGTATCTCACTATCCATCCTTCAGTTCAAACTGTCTTATACTGCCACCCCATGGTCAAAAAAGGTACTACATTCAAAACAAATTAACCAACATCCATCCATTATCTTTTTCCCACTTTTTCCATTTTGGGTCACGGGGGTCGCCGGTGCCCATGTCCAGTTGTCACTGTGCGAGGGGCGGGGTGCACCCTGGACTGGTCTCCTGTCCATCACAGGGACGCATAGAGACAAACAACCATTCACTCTCTCACTCACACATAGGGACAATTTAGAGTCACCAGTCAGCCTAACATGCATGTTTTTTGGTCTGTGGGAGGAAACCGGAGCACCCGAAGAAAACCCTCGCATGCACGGAGAGAACATGCAAACTCCACCCAGAAAGGCCCCCAGACTGGGATTTGAACCGGGGACCTGCTCGCTGAGAGGTAGCAGCTCTACCAGTTGCGCCACCGTGCTGCTCTACAATAATTACTAATTATTGTCAAATTTCAAACAATATTATTGTTTATCGCAATAATTTCTGAGACAATTAATCGCCCAGCAAAATGTGTTATCGTGACAGGCCTAGCTTTGAGTATCGATAAGATAGAAGGGCGTTCTATAAGTGCAGTCCATTTACCTTTTATTTGGACACGCTGAATTGTTTTCATGCTTTAATCGAAGTTAGTTTGGGTCCAAATGTTGCTGTTATTTTATGAATCTGAAGCTGTAAAGTTGATAAACCCTTCAACACTTTGTTGTATAAAAAGAGTTAAAGATCTCTAAATGCTCGTTCAGACATCTAAAGTCCAACTTCCTGTGGCCCGTCAAAGTCTCTGCACACTTTCCCAGACTGAGGCAGGTTCTGTTGTATATTTTGTGGGAGTTTTTTTCAAACTGTCGGAGGAGATGCAAATAAAAACTGAGCAACATAATAAATGTTCTGAGCATTGCCAGTTCTGCTGGCTGAACAGCCTGAAGAGCATTTTTGTGTTTGTCTCTGCACAGATTTGTGGAGTTGCAGTTTCCAAAGAGAAGTAAAGCCCTCCGCACCGGAGCGTTCGTCGTGCCCTTTATATTTGACACCGTTCCTCTGTTTTACCGGGTGAGTGAGTCCTCACACCAGAACTGCACTTTCTGTAAAGATTTTTAATTTTAATAATAAAATCTGTTTATGTAAGCGACCGCACCTGACTACTTCCATGTCTTACTGAGATTACTAACAAGACTTGGCTCCAGTAATCCACAGTCTAATCTTCTAATCCCGGAGATAACTCTTTATGCAAGAAGTTTTTTTTTTTTCCCCTTCAACCAAATCCAAAGTGGTTTTAGAGTCGGACTCAGATCCGGTTGTTTGTGTCTTCAGGTCCTTCTGTGGTTTTGGGGAAGCTGCAGTCAGAGCGCCGCTCTCTCCAATCACAGCTACCACCTCCTCTTCGCCTTCCTCACCTGTTTCCTGTTTACCGCTCACCTTCCGGAGCGGCTGGCCCCGGGCCGCTTCGACTACATCGGTACGTGCTTCTGGGGGTTCATGCAGCTTGGGTTGAAGTGGTTTGGCTGCACAGCCACAGTTTGAAGAAAAGCTGAAAGTATTTGAGACCTTTTGTTTCATACATTTATTAAAATCATTTAGTTTGTCCCACAGCTGGTTATCTCTTTGCCATTCTGTGGTTTAGTTGCATTCAAAGTTTTATTTTTACGTCTGCTACTCATCTACTGAGTTTAGGGAACAGCCGTGACCTTCGAGGTATTCAGTCAGAAACTATCTGCTGCTTTCTAAAAACAAATGTTTGCACAAAACAAAAGAAAGAGAAGTTTCAACTGTGTGAACGTCAGAAATGTTCCCTACAAGATTTACAGCTAACTTTCCATGTAGCGGATTAGCAATTTCGCTAACTTTGTAAACCTTTAGCAGAATTAGCCCCAAATTTTAATCTGATCAAATCTACTTTTTTTTTTTTGACAGTCCTCTGCACTAAAATCGTACAGGTCAATAGTGATTTACACAGAGCATTGATGCAATCGTAAACGTCCAGAAACATCGTAAACGTCCAGAAACATCGTAAACGTCCAGAAACATCGCAAACGGCCAGAAACATCGC